AGTACTCAGGGTACATAATCTGACACATGCCCATGCCGTTTTTAATTTGTTTGTTGGGAAGTTGAATTCTATGTTGCTTAAAATATAACTCTACCCTGTGACCACTGAGTGGGCTATAAGGCTGAAAGAACCATAAACACAAGTGTGCAATCTGCCCTCCTTTGGAATGCTTTTTTATTGGAGAAAGGAAGACAATTGAACACTGCCATCTCGTGGTCATCTAATGACATAGGCCTGCCAAGGAAAAGAAAGCATCGCAGAATGAGGCTGGAGAACCAGAAGGCAGGCATCGCTTCTAGGTGGGCATCACGGTCGGCCTTCTATAAGAACCCCCCTTTCTCAATGGCCACGGTAACGCTTTAACACCTGGGGTCCGAAACATCTGAAACCAATCCACTTTCAGCCCACCTCCCTGGAAAAGAACTGTATTTCTGTTTTGAAGTTTAACTGTAGAAATTAGATCTGTGAGTCTAGTACCCAAGGCACCACATCTATCTTCCCTGAAGCTGCTACCTTCCTTAAGCCAAGCGTGTCCTTTGGTCTGTGCTGTGCTGTGCTGCTAGCCACACTCGGAGCACCTGAGCAGGAGGGCACAGTTTAGGACTCAGGCTGCCCCTCACCAGTCTGTCTCTCTGGACCAGCTGTCTATCCCCTCTGATTCTCAGTGTTCTCACTTGTTAGAAAGAGGGGCGTAAGCATGATACACACTAACGTCCCTTTCATCTCTAAAGTTCAGAGACACAGGTCTCATGATCACAGGGCCCTGACTTAAGACCAACTCTAGGCTCAGTGGCCGGCACTATGCTCTTTCTGAAACACCAGCAGCGTGCCGGGTCCTGGGGAAGCACCAAGGCATAAACAGACATCTCTGCCAAGCTTCCCGCCTACAGAGGGACTCCAACACTCAGGGAGGGGGGAAATGGGAATTGCACCATGGATGATCAATGCGCAGCGAGGGTATGTAACAGGGGCCAGGGGAAGTGAGGTCTGGGAGCAAGGAGCTCTCGCTGAGGGTGTGGCAGGCCTGGATCTGCAGGCTGGAGCAGTTATTCCAGTGCGTGGACATGAAACAGGGCAGAAGGCAAAGGCAGGGGCTGGACTATGCATGGCCTTGGGCCCATGTCAGGAGTTTGAACTCTATTCTAAGGGCAGCAGAACTGCTCCAGCGAAGGGTTTGAGGCAGAAAAATGACAGCACCCGATGAGTTCTGCGAGAGATCTCAGTGCTCTGTGTGGAGGTTTGAGGTCAGGTTAGGGCTTTGGTGCAGGGAGGCAGTAATGGGATTACTAGTGAACCAGTGCACGAAATTCATGCACATGAAAAGGGAATTAATTTTGAGGAAATATTTTAATATTGCTATTTGCCCTTTATAATAGAAGTGTCAGAGATGAAAGAAAATTAGTAAAATGTATATGAAAATCTTTCTCCTGTCAGAGTCTGGGGGGCACCATGGGAACCAGAGTCAAGTTCCTGCCCACCCACATGCGCCTTGAAATCGCGTGAGACCCAGACCCAGCTGGCCTCACCCCCATTGGGCTAGATCCAGACCTAGATGGCACCACTTTCGTCAAGCCCTGCCGGGTGGGGGGCATGGTCTCAGGTTGCCTGGCCCAGTGCCAGGGCGGGGGGCACGGCCTGAGGTCCCCCAGCCCAGGTGGGGGGGAGGGGGCGCCTTGAGGTCTCTGTCAAGCCCCGCTGGGCAGAGGGGCACAGCCTCAGGTCTCACAGCCTGGCACTGAGGCATGGGGCACAGCCTCAGGTCCCCTGGCTCAGTGCCAGGGCAGGGGAGTGGCCTGAAATCCCCCATCAAACTCTGCCAAGTGGGGGTTGCAGCTGAGGTATCCTGTCAAGCCCCACCAGAATAGGGGCACCGTCTCAGGTCCCCTGCACTATTCCAGGTATTAGAAATCTGACCAGGAACCAAACAGATGTGGTATTTGCCCTCAGGGGGCATACACTTCCATTTTTTCTTTTAATATACATTTTTATTGATTTCAGAAAGGAAGGGAGAGGGAGAGATAGAAACATCAATGATGAGAGAGAATCCCTGATCTGCTGCCTCCTGCACACCTCCTTCTGGGGATCAAGCCTGAACCCAGGCATGTGCCCTTGAGCAGAATTGAACTCAAGACCCTTCAGTTCCCAGGCCGATGCTCTATCCACTGAGCCACACTGGCTAGGGAGGGGCTTACACATTTCGTGGGGAAGATGGGCACAGGTCCCAGATGACAAAGAATTGATCCATTAAGTGAGAGTGGGAAAGAAGTGTACACACTTTCCTGGATCCTCTACATTCCAAGCCACGTAGCTGTGCAAAACTCCCTGGTTAATGTGAGCGCTGGTCAGAGTGAAATGTCTTTCAAACCCCTGTGCTTGAGAAATACGCATTGCCTCGTAACCACTAGTCACAATTTACTGACCATTTACCAGGGGCCAGGCAGCACTTAACCATAGGTACTACTATTATCTCCATAGTCCAGACGAGGAAACAGGGTTCCATGGAAATGACTGATCAGAGACCACTTTGCTGGTTAGTGGTAAAGACAGGATTTCAATCTGGCTGTGCATCAGCCTGACCTCTCTGGTCCATAACACACTTCCTCTTCCAGTCAGAGGATTCCATTTGGACAAACAGGGTAGCATGTGAACTTAGTTCCAAAAAGCTACCAGCCCACAACCGCCGAGTTTTTGTCAGACGTGAACCTGGGGAGCCTCCAACCCCCACGCTGTGAGGACGATGGAAAGAACTCCTTCCTCGGGAAAGGAAAACACCAAATGAATGCTTCTCTTCTACCGAAAGGCCCGCGTTCCGGGAAAGATGTCAAGGCTCGATTTGTTGAATTTCTGGTGTCAAATAAATCTTGATTTTTGGGGGGTTGTTGTTTGATACAGAGTTATGACTAGGTGTTTTTCACATTTTCCACATTTGTGTGTGTGTGTGTGTGTGTGTGTGTGTGTGTGTGTGTGTGTATGGAGTCCTTGGGGGCATACATCTGTCTTTACTTTCTTATAAAGCCCCAACTGTGCTTTGAATGAATGCTACTTAATGTTAAGGTGACAGTGGCTTTTTCAGCTAATGGATATTTCTTTTCCATTCGGATTCATGTTCCCTTTCCTTTGAGTCCTTAAGCTATTTTCAAGCATATTTTGGCCAACATAACTTTGAAGCTACTCCTAGAAAATATTAAATCATCTAGGTTTAGGAACTTTGTGTAAGTCAAAGACTCAATGTCCTGAGTAATTTTAAATGACTCCAACTGTTGTTGTTTTGCAAACTTTAAATCTTGACTCTGGTAAATTAAGACATTTAGAAAGTTTGTGGGAATAAATAGTTCCAGATTTGTTCTAAGGGGATGGATGGACAGGGACACACATACACACACACACACAGAGAGACACTTATTTCAAGTGTGGAGATTAAAATGGGAAAAACTGTTTCATTCTTTTCCCCTCCACTCCTTCAACCAAATATCCCTTAAGAAAAACCCTACACTCTTATACACCATGAAGCCAGAAGAGTAACTTCAGAACAAAATGTAAAAGGTCTTAATGCCAGAGGTTAGATAGAAGATATTACTTATACATATATTTTATTTATTCTCCAAGGTGTATATGTGTGAGAACTAGGGGGGAAAGATTGTCATTCCATCATTAAATAGGTAAAACTGAAGGCCAAGCACTCAGCTAAGTCCCAGTGAAAAACACAGATTAGAAAAATAAAGAAGCAGAAATAAAAATAAGGAGTTCTCCGAAGAGGATGCCAGGCAGGGTTTATGCCATGGGAATAAACCCAGGGAGGCCGGACACAGGCTTCCCAGAGAAAGCCACTCTGAGGCCGAAGTTGGCCGGTGAACAGGGGCTGAGAGTGGGCACAGCCAAGTTTCAAGGCCCGAGTGTTGGAAGCACTTGATGATGTCCCAGGAGCCCCGCCAGCGAGAGCAGAGACACGAATGGAGAGGTGAGAGGTGGCTGGTGAGAGGTGGCTGGTGAGAGACTGCGGAGCAGGGAGGGTCTCAGCAGTCGTGTGAGGAGGCCAGACTCCATCCCAGTGGAAACCCGCCCAGGGAGGAGTAGGGGAGTGGCAGGACCAGATGAGCACTTTCTAAACATCACTTAAGCTCTGTGGTCCGCAAACTGGGGCTTGAGAGCCACATACGGCTCTTTGGCCCCTTGAGTGTGGCTCTTCCACAAAATGCCACGGCCTGGGAGAGTCTATTTTGAAGAAGTGGCATTAGAAGAAGTTTAAATTTAAAAAATGTGGCTCTCAAAAGAAATGTCAATCGTTGTGCTGTTGATATTTGGCTCTGTTGACTAATGAGTTTGCCGACTACTGCTTTAGTTACAGAGAGGAGTTGGGGAGGACACACTGGGGCATGTGGTCTTGGAGGGAGGGATGTCACAGCGGGGACTGGGGCAGGGACACCAGAGATGGCAAGAGGACGGGTTTATGGCCCTGAGGAAGCTGAACTGGCTGAACATGGTGGTTGACTGGATGTGGGGAGTGCTGGGAGAGGACAAGGCAAGGATGGTCCTGGGTTTCTGGTTGAGCAGCTGAGTGGAGGGGGTGTCCTAGCGGGAGACGCAGACCAGAGGTGGGGTTTGTCCTGTTGAACATGCAGTCACATGCTCTTAGGAATGTCCTGTTAGCTCATTTCTGTTTTCATTATGATTGAAAAAAAGTAACACGCAGCATCAGATCCATTATTATTATTATTTTTTTACAATATGCATTCTTAAATGCCGATATGCATCACCGTTTCAACTATGTGTCGTATGGCTTCCTAGAAGGCGTCACTGTTTTAACCACCATTCGTAGGATTTGCAGTAATTTTTTGGAACTGGTCAAAGAAATAAAGTCCATGTCCTTTGCCCACTGAGAGTCCATTTTTATAAGCTGGTAGGGTGAAATGGTCAATGTCAGAAATGACACAATACTTACCGAGGGAACGAACACACCCTTGGCCCAAGGTAAGTGAAGTAGAAGGTAGGCGCATGCTCACCTGAGGCGGGAGTCCTTGAAGGTGTCCAGGTAGGCGGGGTAGCTCCACCCGATCTTACTCCCCTTACACCGCAGCTCCAGGGTCTGCCCCGCCGCCAGGCTCAGGGTGGCGGCCGGCTTCTGGAAGCGCCCCTTCTCCGTCATCTGCACCATGATAGACTGGTTCTTGGGCGCCGGGTCATCAGCCGAGTCCCTGTCCTTCGTCTTGGGGACCTTGGGCTTCACCTTCTTGTTGGCGGGCTTGATTCTGTTCTCTCCTGGCTCCTTCGGACGCTTGTTCTTGGGAGGGTGTTGGCCGGCAACTAGTACAAATGTGAAGAGAGAACAGTGGGCTGTAGGAGCGACACACCCAGGGCATTTAACACCTAAGACAGATCACTTCACAAAGCAAACTTGTGCTTTTATTGATAGCAGAGAGGAAAGGAGAGGGAGAGAGAAAGAGAAACACCCATGATGAGAGAATGGTTGATCAGCTGTCTCCTGCACGCCCCCTACTGGGGATTGAGCCCCGCTACCCGGGCATCTGCCTTGGACCAGAATTGAACCATGACCTTCTGGTTCATTGGTTGACGCTTGACCCCTGAGCCACACTGGTCAGGCCAGATTAGTTTTTAATATCCCACTCCTCATATATCAACATTGTTTTCAGCCGTAATCACTATTTTCTTGGTTCATTCTTTAGCTTTAAAACAATGCATGACGGAAAGGGAATCTATTTCTCTAAGGGGTCCTGTGGAATGGCAGGATGGAAGCCACTCACAGGGCTTGGTGCCTGCTTTGTAATCGCAGGGTGTTGGCTGTTCAGTTTGAATCTACTGTTTAAATGTCTACAACTGGTACCACACGCTCACTCAGAAGATTTTGGAAATTTACCCAAGACCAGCAGGGCCGGTGTGTCTTTGAGTGCCGGGGGCTGACAATGTCATACAGAACACACGGTTTAGTGAGAAATGAGTACTGAACCCGTGTCCAGAAATCCCAGCTGGCCCCCCAGCTCAGCAGCCAGCGCCTGGTGCCCCCCATGGGTCCAGTCCGCATGCTGTAGATTAAAACATTAAGGAGGCCCTGAGAAGTTGTATAAATTGCTCAGCATTGGTCCTGGCAGAAAGTGAGAACAGAGCTCGGATCTTCTGAACCTCATTCCAAGTGCTCACTCACTCTACGTGGATAAACATCCAGGATTATTTTGACCAGATAAGCACAGGAACCGTGGCTAACTGAGGGGATCACAAGGCATTTGTTTAAAAGAAGTGGAATAAGTGGGGAGAAAATCCTTTTTCCTTTTTTGATGGGTGCATTTATCCAGTACTACCTTAGTGTACAAAAGGCTTGGAGTGGTCCAAAGTACAAAGATGTCGAAATTAGGATCAAGATATGCAAAGAGACAAGTGTTACAAGTTCTTATGCCAGTGGCCCAGGCCGGTGATAAAACAGGGTGAGTCAGCCTGGCCAGTGTGGCTCAATGGTTGAGGTCGACCAATGAACCAGGAGGTCACAGTTCAATTCCCAGTTAGGGCACATGTACAGCTTGTCTGACTTGTAAGTTGCCAGATCCTGTGGCTATCCTGCTCAGGAACATCTGATGACCTAACTGTGAATAATATGCATCCAAATAAGTGCTATTATCCCTGCAAAGTAATTTAACCTTTTGACCAAACAGGCCCACCTGTCAATCTAACTCCAGTTGGCCCAGGTGGCTGCCCGTGGAATCGGTCAGTGGCTTATGGTGATGACGCTAAGTTAGGAGACAGGTGAGTGACCCTACAGATCCCCAGACAGTCCTCGGATTGAGTGACTCCCAAATCCCAGGCCTACTTTGTAAAGAATACAACTCTTCAGCCAGACTATGTAAATTATTTCTCAAAGGCATAAAACGTGTAAGAATTTCTATTGTAGGTAAATAAAAGTGAAAATACATTACCACTGCATTTTTGAGACTACTGCATTGTATAGAGCAACAGGTGGTAAAATAATTTTTTAAAAAATTAAATATCATTACTGACTTCAGGTCCTGGCTACCACCTCCTAGCTGTGTGATCTTGGGGTGTTATTTAGCCTCTCTCTGCCTCAGATTCCTCATCTGTAAATGGAGAACAATATGGCAATGACGATGACCTCATGGGTTGGTGGGGGGATAAACGAGTTACTGTTTTAAATACGGGGAGCAGTGTCTGAGCCCAGTAGGGGCCCATTAAGTGCCCCTTGTTTTGTAACCCCATGATAAGGTTCCACGGTGATCTCCATGGTGATGGAGACCGCGGAGCTCTTATCTTCCTGGCTTACAGGTGCAAGACACTGAGACCACAGAGGCCAAGTCGTTCGCCCGAGTCACCGAGAGGGTGGTGACAAACCTACCAAAGGCCCTTTGGCCCCAGGTCTAGAGTATCACCTGGGTCATGCCCTCGCCTTTCAGTTCACACAGAGATGAACCTTCTGCAGCAGTTTCCCTTCGTCCCTTGGTTGGCACAGCCTCCTGCGCAGCCCCATTGTCTTAGCGGTTTCTCTGTCTCTGTGCCCCGCGCTCTGACAATGAGTTCCAAGTCAAACAAAACCTGATGCCAGGAATGCGAGCACACCCTTCCTGGCAGGGCCGGGGATGCTCTCCCAAGGCACACATTAGACTCCCCGAGCGCGGAGACGCCGGGCAAACCCCGGCTCAAGAATGAATGAATAAAGGCTGCCACGCAGGAAAACGGACGGCGATTCTTCCGCACGAACTGAGGGTTGCAATGAACTCCTCCTTGTTCGACAAACTATTAACTCTCTCATCTGCTAGGAGAGTGTTTCCCAAACTTTTCTCATGATGAGAATCACCTGGTGGAGTTGTTAAACTACAGATTCCTGAATCCCAACTAAGAAGTGCTAAACTAGAATTTTTGGGAACATACAGGTAAAATTGTATATTTAACAGAGCACTAAGTTAAGTATTCAGGAATCTGTAGTTTAACAACTCCACAAGGTGATTCTCATCCTGAGAGAAGTTTGGGAAACACTGCAGAACCGCGCAAGAGAAGACAATCTATTCATTAGAAGAATCCCTGACTGCGCTTTAGATCACAGTCATTAACCTCAAAGACCTGTAGCTGTTTGGGGTTTTCGCCCACAGGCAGTGAGGGGGAGGGTCTTCCCTGAGAGTAGCATCAAAACCAGCACCCTGCAGACATGCTGAGCAGCTGGGGGGTTATACACCGAAAGCCATGCCTCAAGCTCATGTTTCCCTTCCTCCAGAAACCCCCACAGGAGCACTGAGACTTCCAAGACCAGCGCTGAGCCCATGGGAAGGCACTGACACGCAACATAACGAAAAGAAAATGAGAGCCTGCCCTTTCCTATCCTCTTCTAGAACCCTCCCTCCAAATCGCCCCCCTACCATTTTCCCCAAGTATCATTTTCTTAACATGGCAATGTCTAGGAATCACATGCTTCTGTTCCAAGGTCAAGACCTTACTTTGAATGAATCCTTTTCCAGAATATCCATTAGACCAGGGTTGATCACTGTTTTTTTTTTTTTTTTTTAAATGGGGATGATGGACATACAGCATTATGTATAGTTATGATTCCCATTTGTGTTCACACACTGGAAAGTGATCCCTCTCCAGCTGAACCAGCTTCATTTGCTTGGCTCCCAGCACATGGCCCTGCTGGCTGTTCCTCCTGCATCAACCACAACTCCTCAGTGTGCTTGGCAGCCCTTCCCCCTCTTCCCTTCCTGCCTGACTGGAAGCTCTCTCCCCTCCATCGCTAAGGACACTCCTTCTCTGAGTGGCCTCACACGGCCCCCGGGCGTCCAGCATTCATACGCGGAGAGCTGCCTGGTTCCTGTCCTCAAGTCGCCTCCAACTCCAGGTCTGAACGCTTACTCAGCACGGCGCTTGAGAAGCCAGGCGGCAGCTCAAGTTGCAGATGGCCACACTGACCCTGGATGCCACCCAGAACCTCTGTCCCAGGGTCCCTTTATCAGTGCACGGCAAGTCACTGACTCAGGACAAAATCCTCAGAGCCACGCATGATTATTTTCTTTCTCTCCTGCCCCATGTTCAATCCGGCAGCAAATCCTCAGAGCGGGGACTTGATTCCTTCAAAATAGACCCTGAAGCCATCTCTTCTCCCTCCATCCACCATGACCACCCTGGACCAAGCCTCTTGTCACCTAGACCCGTGGTCAGCAAACTGCTGCTCGCGAGCCACAAGTGGCTCGTTGGCCCCTTGAGTGTGGCTCTTCCACAAAATACCACGGCCTCGCCGAATCTATTTTTGAAGAAGTGGCGTTAGAAGAAGTTTAAGTTTAAAAAGTCTGGCTCTCCAAAGAAATTTCAATCGTTGTACTGTTGGCTCTGTTGATTAATGAGTTTGTTGACCACTGTCCTAAATCAACCCATGTAAGACCCAGGTTCAAATCAGCATTGATCAAGATCAGCGAAACAGCAGTCACAAATCAATTATACTTCCATCGTTTGCCCCTGACATCAGGTAAAATATGTAGGTGATCAAACTTTAGTAAGTACATGTGTATTTATACTTCTTAATGTAAAAATAGCAGCACCAACCAGTAAAGACCATGGCAGGTGCTCCATATAAAACCTGGCAACCAGGGGCTGCGAGCCATGGCGACCTAGTGGGATTTCGGGCTGGTTAGTAACTATTTTCACGACCCCCTGTCATGATTCAAGAGGAATGTGTGCCGTTTCAGAACTGGAGGAAAAAGAACATCACTTTCGTGAGGAGAAAGAACATTACTTCTAAAACTCCAAAGCATTCAAAACTCCAAACCATGCAGGCACAGCTGCCGGGTTGGAGCGGCTATCCAACAGCCTCTTCGGGGCGTGATCAGAAACAAGAGAAGGCAGTGGGATACAGTGAGTCACGGCCTTGTGTCTGCACTTGGCCATGCCTCACAGCCCAACCTGCCAATCAGAGCCTGGCCCTCTGGCCTGTGCCCAGCCCCAGCCAACCACACCATAACTCAAACCAGAAGAGGCATCCGTATAGGTCTAGGGAAACTGTTATCTAATCTAACGAGGCAGGTTTACGTTTCTAATTATGCGCTCAGTATTTTATTCATCGTCCACACTCTATATTTTAAAGTAGAACCTTTAAAAACAAAGACAGTGGCTATGGTCATGCCTAAAATGTACCAATTGTTTCTTATGAAGGATTTCGTCTGCGTTCAACGCTCTCGGATGGCCTCACAAATGTTTATTGCGTGTGTGTGACATTTAGCTAAAATAATGCTAATTCATTCAGGCAGTATGCAGTGGTTCTCACAGTCTGGGCACACGTTGGCCGGAAAAACCTCTGGCGTCGTTTCCTGAGCCTCAGGCAGGCATCTCGGGTGAACTGTATAATCAAGTGAGTGGGTTATTTGAAATTATTTCGTCTGGCCATCTCCTGCCCTTATCCAAAAAAAAAAAAAAAAAAGAATATCAAATACTGCATTTTCGTCCCGTTAGCAATCCTATGGGGACCTGCCAGGAGCGGTTTCGTATCACATTTTACCTCGTGAGCTCACACCAGCTCAGCTCTGGGCAAGCAGTACCTGCTGCTTCCCAGAGCAGAAAAACTCCCTACGTTTTATTCAGCAAGACTCCTGGTTAAGGGTCCCCATGCTCAGCTTCAAGTCCCACAACCACCGTGGACTTGGCAGAGGAGGATGTGGTATTTTGTTGGCCAGCGCTCCCGGTTTCATGGGAAAGGGAGGGACTGGCCAGGGCTGAGTGGTGGGTAAAACCTGAGCCAGGTTAAGCTGGCTGCAGCGGGAGGTTGCATAACAACAACAAAAGCTGCTTTTCAACCAAAACTGAGCAAAGATGGGCCGGGGCTGAGCAATTCCAAGGGCGGGTTCGGGATGCCAGGATGGCCCCAGATGCACAACAAAACACTGATCAACTAACTCCGTGGTCGGCAACTGCAGGTCGCGAGCCACATGCGGCTCGTTGGCCCCTTGTGCGTGGCTCTTCCACAAAATACCACGGCCTGGGCGAGTCTATTTGGAAGAAGTGGTGTTAGAAGAAGTTTAAGTTTAAAAAGTCTGGCTCTCCAAAGAAATTTCAATCGTTGTGCTGTTGCTATTTGGCTCTGTTGGCTCATGAGTTTGCGGACACTGAACTAACTCATGGAGCCAGCGAGGCAATCGAATGCTGACAGTACCGTGGAGACAGACACAGACACAAACAACACATTCACACACACACACACACACACACACACCCCCAAAATCAAGCCTGACCTTGTGGTTGGGAGTCTCTAAAACAGGGTGGGCCCGGGACAGGCTGGCATTGGAAAAAGTACACTCACCTTTCCCCACCCACCAGATGAGGGGTGATGGACAGCTGTGGGGGGTGGATTCCTGCTGAGGTTTAACCCAAAGAAGTATTTGCTGTGAGGCTGAGGCAGGTCTTGCAGGATGCAAGCCCCCCCCCCTCCCCCTCCAGCCCAGGACCCAAACCCAGGGCTGCAGCAAGGAAGAGGGGGAGGAGGGGGAGGAGGAGGAGGAGAAGGAGGAGGACAAGGAGGAGGAGAGGAGGGGGAGGAGGAGGACAAGGAGGAGGAGGAGGAGGAGGAGGGGATGGAGGAGGAGGAGGAGGGGGAGGAGGAGGAGGAAGGAGGAGGAGGAGGAGGAGGAGGAAGCACCTGGAGTGTTGCAAAAGCACCAAGCACCGGCCCCTGCCTGGCTCAGGTGGCCCCCGCCCTCAGAGCAGATCCCGGAGCTGATGCTGGACGGGGAGATGGAAGCGGCTGCGGGTCCCGCCACCTCCCAGCCCGACACGTGGACACGGGCTGGGCTTCCCGGGAGCGCGGGGACCGGAGGGTCGGGGTGGCTGCCACCGGCCCAGGGCCCGCAGGGGAGGAGGAAGGGGGGGAGGGGGACCCCGCAGGAGGGGCAGGTGCACGTGGCAGGGGCGGCGCCGGCCCGGCCTCCCAGGCCGGGAGACGGGAGCGCCGGCGGGGACAGGGTGGGGGCCCGCTGCCGCCGGGGCTCGGCCGTCCCGCCGCCCGGTCACTCACCATCCTCCAGCGCCTGGAGCACCAGCAGGAGAGCCAGCGGCAGCCACACCTTCATCTTCGGGCGCGGGGCCGGCGGAGGCGCGGGCCGCGGTCCGGGCGCAGCGCGGGGCGGGCGCCGGCGGGCGGGGCGGGCGCCGGGGACGCCCCGCCGGCGGGTTCGGTTTCCTGCGGAGGGACCGGGTTTGGGGGAAAGTCCTGGGATTTCTAAAATTCCGCCCGCGAGCTCTCCTGCCCCCTGGCGGCGCGGCGCGGGGCGGCGGGAGGGCGGGCGGGAGTCACCGGCTCCCCCGGGAAGGCCGGGCGCCCTGCGGGGCTGGCGGGGTCCCCGCAGCCAGGAGAGGAGGGTCCAAATGTCTCCCGCCGCTCAGGGAAGCTGTGTGAAAGGTGCCCAACATCTCCTTCCCAGAGGCCCGTCACCTGTGCCCACAGCGAGCCCATCGCCCCAGCTGTGCCCACAGCGAGCCCATCGCCACCTGTGCCCACAGCGAGCCCATCGCCCCAGCTGTGCCCACAGCGAGCCCATCGTCACCTGCGCCCACAGCGAGCCCATCCTCACCTGTGCCCACAGCAAGCCTCAGTTAGAGGGCCAGCATCAGGCTGCCCTGGCCCAACACACATCCCACCACCTCCTGTACACACACATCACACACACACACACACACACACACACACACGCACACACACACACACCACACCCTCAGCTGTGCCTGCGGACTGGGAGAGCCTCAGGTCAGGGCTGACCTGGCCCCAACACACCTCACATACTACACACCCCCAGCTCTGCCTGTGGACTGTGACAGCCCCAGGCCAGAGGGCCAGCATCAGCCCCAACACACACACCACACGCCACACATCACATACACACACACACACACCACACATAACACAGCCTCAGCAGTGCCTGCGGACTGTGAAAGCCTCAGGTCAGAGGGACAGCATCAGGCTGCCCTGCCCCAACACACACCCCACACCCCACCCACTCCCTCTATACACACACCACACACATCACACACACACCACACCATACACACACACCACATCATACACTATGCTTCCTAGTCAAGACCAGCACTCTGGTGGCCTCTAAATGTAGACTCTACTTTCTTCCAGGAAGCTCCTCAGTTCTAGCAAATTCTTCCCCCCAGACCCTCCTGTGCTCATCACAAAGCGTCCTGAGGAGGTGACTCAGGTGGAGAGAAAAAGGCGTTGCAAACTAAAATAGAATTAAATCCTAAACTGGGCGGTGCACGCTGTGAGTAGCGGAGTGGTTCAGAGAGGGGCGTGCAGGCTGGAGGAGGAGGAAACCAGAGGGGGGAGGCCTTGGACTTGGAGAGCAGGGGGCAGGGGGAGGGCGCTGAGGAGCCCATGCTGTCCGGTGTCGGCCAAGGTCAGGGGGCCAAGGCAGGCAGCAAGAAACAACTGGCCAGATGGGAAGAGCGTGGGAACAGAGGGAAATGAGACGGAACCAGCAGCCTGGGGCTGTGGGGGTGGGGGATTAGGCACCCCCGTGCCTGGGCGGGGGCCCAGCCCAGGTTTCTGAGCTTGGGACTCATCAGGGGAAAGCAGCTGCAGGTGTGAGCAGCTGGTGCGCGGGGTGGGGGGTGGGGGGGCAAATGGGGAGCAGGGCCTCCATCCCACTGGCCCACTCACACGTTACAGCTCACAGCCAGCTGGTTAGAGACAGCGGGAGGGGCCTTCCCCTCAGCACCACGGAGGCAGAGCTGCCGTGTGTGACAGGCACGTGCTTAGCAGCCACGCAGGAGGAACCGGGAATCCACCTTCCATCGTCAGCTCTGGGACTGGCTTCGCCGGTGGGATGGAAGTCCCAGGGTCAGGCCCTGCCTCTGCCACGACCTCTCCTCCCCCTCCCTCCCACAGCTCCCCGGAGCTCCCTGGAGGCTTACCGTGTGCTCATTGCCGTGGCTATAAAGGTGGAGACGGCACCACTCCTGCTTCTGAGGCCTGCACTCGGCCTGGGGCACTGCCTGTCACATCCCGGGGAGCACTGTGGGCGGAGCATCCAGGAGCACACTCAGGGGCTGCTCCCCACGGAGACCCTGTCCCATCCTGCCCCTGTGAGGTTGACACCCGTCGCTCTGAGTCAGAGCTGGGGTCCACCACGCCTCACTGCTTGGCCCGCCTGCTGACAGCACATCCGGTCTGTGCCCATTTGCCGTCATCCCGGCCTCCCTGCGCAGGCTCCAGCCGCTAACTTTGCTGACTGGGATGTGGCCACAGCCCCCTAAGTACACTTTCAAATTGGGTAAGTGGCATACAGAAAGAAAAAAAATGGAATTTCACTTCTCTATCACGTACACGATAGCTAAGTGTAGGTACCTAAACTATCCTAGGTGTGTGCCATGGGCTGAATTGGGCCCTCCTCACCCCTACCCCCAATTTTTTAAAAAATATATATTTTATTGACTTTTTTACAGAGAGGAAGGGAGAGGGATAGAGTCAGAAACATCAATGAGAGAGAAACATCAATCAGCGGCCTCCTGCACACCTCCCACCGGGGATATGCCCACAACCAAGGTACATGCCCTTGACCGGAATCAAACCTGGGACCTTTCTGTCCGCAGGCGGATGCTCCATCCACTGAGCCAAACCGGTCAGGGCCCCAATTTTTTTTCCAAAATGATGACATCCTAACCTCCAGTACTTCAGAATGTGACAACATTTGGAGCTAGGGTCTCTGAGGAGGGAATTAAGTCAGGATTAGGTTATTGGGTTTGACACAAACCCGATCTGACTGGCATCCTTGCCAGTAAGAAGGGGAAGTGGACACACATTCGCAGGCGCAGAGGGAAGCTCACGTGAAGATTCAAGGGGAAGCTGACCATCTACAAGCCCAGGAGAGAGCCCCCAAAAGACACCAACCACCCTGCTGACATCTTTTTTTTTTTTTTTTTTAATAAATATATTCCTATTGATTTCAGAGAGAAAGGGAGAGGGAGAGAGAGAGAGATAAAAACATCAATGATGAGAGAGAATCATTGATCGGCTGCCCCCTGCATGGCCCCCTCCGGGGATCAAGCCTGCAATCTGGGCATGTGCCTCTGGCCAGAATTGAACCTGGGACCCTTCAGTGCACAGGCCAATGCTTTATCCACTGAGCCAAACCGGCTAGGGCCCTGCTGACATGTAATCTCTGAGTTACAGAGAGGAAGGGAGAGGGGCTGTGAGAATGCACGTCTGTGGTTTAGGCCAAAAAGCCTGTATCCATCACTTTGGAACCAGGTCCGTGGGCCAGGATAGGAGCGAGGGCTGCCAGAAACATGGGGGCTTTCCAGGGCTTGTTACCTTTGAGTGAGACGACTTCACGATGACTCTGAATCGGAAAAATAAAGCTGCCAGGCTTGTATTTTTTATGGGTTTGATTTTACTGTGAAAACCCGTGTGCTTTGTCTCCAGAGTGAGAAGGAATTTTATTATGAGAATCTCAGTTTATGTGGATCTTTCCCATTCTTTCTCCAACCATGGCCATAACACTGGCCAATTACAACAAGCCTTGGCTTACAGGTCAAAGTCAAGTCCAATTCGAAGGCTGAATTCCCAAGGCAAGATTCACTTTTGTATGTTTGTGTCTTTTCTATTAAATTTATTGGGGTGAGATTAGTAAATAAAATTGCATAGGTTTCAAGTATACAATTCTGTGTCTTACCATCTGTGTATTACTTTGTGTATTTTTTACCCCAAATTAAATCTTTTATTACCATATATTTGACCCATTGACCTTTTTACACCCTCCCACCCTCCTACTCTCTGGTATCCACCATACTGTTGTCCATTTAATTTTTAGTTGATGTCTTGGGTTTTTAGATAAATGACCATATTACCTGCAAATCCATGTTTCCTTATTAACTATTGTCTGGCTGCTCCCTCCACCTCACTCTTACGTTAATTAGCTTTCAGTGTTTATAATCCATTCACCCCTGACCTCATGACGCACAGTGTGCCTCAGGCTTGGCACCAACCAGGGGTCCAAGCCTCCCTCAATCATCAGCTACTTCCTGATGTGGGAGGAGAGGAGGCTGAGAACACAGAAAACAGCCTTTTAAAAACAGTGTCCAGCCAGGCCCGAGTGGCTGAGCATCAACCTGTGAACCAGGAGGTCACGGTTCGATTCCCAGCCAGGGCACATGCACTGGTTATGGGCTTGATCCCCAGTAGGGGGCGTACAGAAGGCAGCCAATCCATGATTCTCTTTCATCATTGATGTCTCTCTCTCTCTCTCTCTCTCTTTCTCTCTCTCTCTCTCTCTCTCTCTCTCTCTCTTACTCCCTGAAATCAACTTAAAAATATATATTTAAAAATAAAAAAACGTAAAATAAAAGCAGTATCCAGGGAAGCACCATCACCCTCGGGAGGGCACAGCATCCTCAGAGCGACTGCGTCAGCGCCTTCCTCTGAGAGCTCAGCCAGCAGCCCCAGGCATTGACTCAGCAGAGGCAGAGCTGGAGAGGAGAATGGTGGAGGGAGGAACAGAAATCAGCAAATGGAAGGGAGAAGTGAACGTGGGCCAGGGTCGGGAGCAGAGACAGCACTCTGTGCTGATGTATCCGCGGTCCGTTAGTCAAGCTCTGAATGCCGCAGGGAAGAAGGACAACTCTAAGCTAAAATGCAAATGACGAGAAAACCTCAATCCTCTCCTTTCTTTGGCTTTTTTACTTAATGGGCCTTCCTACCTCCTTTAAATATCTGTGCCTCTTTGCTTTGTCTGTTTGCTTTTTCAATGCTCACTTTTTGAAAAGCGTTTTCTATTTGTCATTTACAACTTCATGCCAATTGAAGTCGGTGTTTCAGTTTCAAGAATATTGCCAAAACCGGTTTGGCTCAGTGGATAGAGAATCAGCCTGCGGACTGAAAGGTCCCAGGTTTGATTCCGGTCAAGGGCATGTACCTTGGTTGTAGGCAAATCTCCAGTAGGGGGTGTGCAAGAGGCAGCTGATCAATGATTCTCTCTCATTGATGTTTCTAACTCTCTATCCCTCTCCCTTGCTCTCTGTAAAAAATCAATACTATATATATATTTAAAAAAAGAATATTGGACTTTAGGTCTGATCTCTACCCTCCGTCTTTGCACGATCAGGGCTGGGGAAGATAATGGAGTCCCAGAGACTCTGCCATTGGGACCACAACAGGGCTGTGGTACCTGTGAATTAAGGGATTCGGAGCCCAGGAATGAGCTTGTTCCTGGGTCGGAGATAGGAGCCCAGCCTGGGTGGTATCATGCTCCTGGGTAGTGGAGCCTGCCTTGTGTTCTCCTCTTCGTGTGGACCACTCCCATCTCAGTGGAGTCATAGGATGCTTTACCCAGGATCGGTGACATCTGCCATGTCTGGGACCTCCAAGTACTTAAGCCATGAATCTGTTACTAGAATGTTTTAAGTAAGTTAATCAGCATGGAGCTGAGTTTATTTCTAGATAGTTTCTCCATTCATTGACCCTACTTTGAGATCATGTGATTATGGGTGAGTTTGGAATGTCTTTGAGAATTTTTTTTGAGACATTTCGTGGAATGAATGAAGTTAATTACTCTGTCACACAGATGATGGATACTAGTCCGCACCATCAGCACTCCATGGGCCTGGAGTCCTTAGCCTGTGGCCTTCTTTAAAGAACACGAAGGAGAAGGTGTCCTATTTCTGGGAGTTCCTGGCTGAGCTCCAGCCCAGACACAGCTCCTGGCGCATCACTTTCCCCCCACATGATCCCCTGGTTCCAAAGCAGAGGTGGTACAACCAAACCTGGTCACAACCCTCATCAAGCCACCAATCAGGTAAAGGAGGTTTTCAGCTCCTCCTTGGCAAATACTTTGCTATTTCCGCTTGGTTTTCAATGCTGGCTTAACCTGATCTTAACTTGAACACCAACATCGTGTTCCCTCCAATGTACTAGAATAAATAGCAATTCAGTGTATACACAGAGACATTTCAAAATTAAACAAGCTCATTGAAGAGGTTTGGGGATAATGTGAGCAATGCCAGAAAACCCTTAGATTCCTCCCTTCAAGAGGGTAACTAGGGTTGAAGTTGGTAAATATTCATCCACTACACTGTAAAAAAATGTCTTAGTTACAGAGAACTGATCACCAATTATTCCAGGCTATGATTCGGTCAGGAACACATTGAGGAGCCCCTCACACACAAAAGCCATGTCAGAGAGATTGGTCCATCAAAGGGCAGTGAAGTGGTGGATCCTGGGGTGGTATGCTTCAGGAGCAACTGACCTTTTTTGTAAGGTGCCATTAGGATTGAGCACATGTGAAGGCATTTCCTTTATCTCATAGGACTTGGCTAGTCACACAGTAAGCCCTAGGCTTCCCACTGAATAGTATTAACAATGTCATTATTTCCATTTAGATTGTGTTCTATTTTGGAGATTTAAAGACTCCCAAATTTTTAAAAAGCCCTGGCTGCTTTGTTTTGTTTTGCCCTGGCTGGTTTGGGCCAGTGGATGAGGCATCAGCCTGTGAACTGAAGGGTCCCAATTCGGTTCCAGTCAGGGGCACATGCCAGGATGGTAGGCTTGATCCCCAGCAGGAGGCAGTGATGGATGATTCTCTCTCATCATTGATATTTCTATCTCTGTCCCTCTCCCTTCCTCTCTGAAATAAATAAAGGTGTGTGTGTGTGTGTGTATATATAAAAGCATTTTAAATTAGGTAAGTGTGAAATGTAGACTTCAGTTTGTGTGATACACATGCATACGACATTATTACAAGTTGTATTAAAATTTATTTAAAAAATACATGGTCACATTAGAAAGCCTATTTTACAGTGGTAAAGCAGCAACAGTTTTCATTTATTACAAATTCTAAAAAATAATCCAACTTTGTAAGTAAAAAGGAACGCTGATTATCATTAGAAACATTTACATTTAAAATTACCTACCCAACAAACACACCTTTCCATTCTCACAGGTCCGATGCGTCTGTTGGTTTCTACAGACACAGAATTTCTGCAGGGTTTTGGGCCCCATCTACAGTTCCTATTGAGTACAATGGTAACAAGAGAAAGCAAGAAAATAACTGGGCACCCCCTGGTGGACACAAAGATAAAGAGCCTGTCAACCAGGCATGGGCCAGAGATACACACCACCCTGTTGGTCATACAAGGTTCTTCATCAACCCGACCTTGGCCCATGCACTTCCACCCAAGGCGGTCAGTGGCAGTCTGGGGGGATTGCAGTAAGACTCGCCCTATGGTGCCAGTTCCAGGAAGCAGCCATACTTCCCATGAGGCACAGAGGTTCCTTCTTGATCATCCATCTTGATGCACTCATGGGGTATTTGGAACTGATATTATGGACCGCACAATACTTTACATTCAGGTGAAGCCTTTGACTTCATATCCTCCCCTGACATTCCAAGACCCCACCCAACAGGGAGCTACGGCTGCCCATACTCTGCAGGCTGCATGATCCTGGAACCAGCCCAGGATCCTGGTTCGTGACCCCCACGGGGCCCCAGTGGTCAGTGACAGGTCTTTAAGGCCAGAGATGGTGGCAGTGGCTTCAGCCACGGTGAGTAAGAGCTAAGTAGAGGGCTCCAGCAGATAGGGTTGCCAGCTGGGTTGAGCCATAGCCGAATGCAATCAGTAAGACTAAACTGTGCACATATATAAACAATAATGAATGTTACAAAAACCGACAACCACAGCAATAACAGAGAAGGCCTCTTAAAACCCAGAACATAGAAAGTCATTTAAAAATGTTTAAACATAATTATATGAGGAGTGGGGGGGGTTGGGGGGGGAACCCAACACAGCTAAACAACAAAGCAAGCAACCGTACTTCCAACTCCACATTTAACATGACCTGTGCTGGCACCATGTCCTGCCTGAACTTGAATACATTTCCCCTTGATGGTTCAGGACATGTTAGAGAATGAAAGTAGAAAATGTACAGAGAAAACACTACTGCATTTTGGCACTAGTAAAATAAAACCACTAATCCCACCCCTTCAAACCTACACTGTTCTTCATTTTCATACCCTAAGATGTGCAATGCAGTCCTTTAAAGTTCTGTGGAAACTGATTGCTGGTGTTAACTTGAAGCGCATCAGGAGCAATCAAGCAGAGAACTCTGAGCAACCTCACAGGGAAGGGAGCGGTGGGACGAGGCACAACTTTATCACGTGGTTTGTAGCCTCGGAATATGGCCCCGATTTAGGAATGAAGGTAAGGCCGACCTGCTCCCTGTCCCTATGCTCCTTGCTAAGCATTCAAATACGCATAGAAAACAAATTTGATGAATACAGATTTGAATTCAAAATATTGTGATATTGTGGCAACCACCTGAGAATTCCCAGGACTTCAATTTTGGCTAATATTTATAATTTTTAAAGTAAAAAAAAAAAATTTTTTTTTCCAGGAAAATTAAGAGGCTCTTATCTTTTGAAGGAAGACAATTCTGAAATGAATATGTTGCATTAACTATAGCTGGTAATAGTCATATATATATCGATATATATATATATATATATATATATATATATTTTTTTTTTTTTTTTTTTTTTTTTTTGTCGGTTTTTCCCCCATAATGTACATACCCCAATAATGTTCTGGTCTTAGTTTTTCCTGACACTTGTCTCTGGGGAAAATGTGACTATGCAATGATCTACACTTGATATACATCAAAAGCTCTAATTTAAGTTTTCTCATAAATAACTTTTAAACTTGAACCTGCATAGCTACCTTGTTAAAGGTAGGGTAGGTGTGACCTTTATACGGCCATTCACAAACCATCTTCTTTTTTAAAAGAGTATACAACAGAGGTGCCATGAGAAGAAGTTTCTCACCAAAAATATCAAGAGAATCTATTTCCTAGTGAAAAAAACAAAAAAAGGTAACAAGCTGTGTTTATGCAATCACAGTTAAGAGGATGTGTATATGTACTTTGTAATTTCTGGAGAGGCTTTCACAGAAGTGTGATTAATGACTAGTGAAATCTATACAACACGCGTTGGTAAACCTAAGAAAGGAAAAACAACACTTTGTTCAAAAGGTTATAGTTCAAGTGGAGGAACGGGGAAGTGGTACCAGCGCTGGCAGTACCAGCTTTTCCTAGATGTACCAGGACAGAGATGCAGAAAAGGTACCACAGAGACAAGTAAACAGCAACATCCTAATAGTCCTACCCTCCTCCATTTCAGATTAGAAAGCACCTGTTGCAATGAACTAGAGTTTAGTGATTTCGTCTCAGGAACATTATAAATAAAGCTTTCTTAAAGAATCTATCTATAGAAAATATCATATATATAAAATCACTGTGCATTTCAAAATACTTTAAAACCTAAACTTTTATATAAGCATACCCATCAATACAAAACATTATATTTTTCTCTACATCAGTTGTATGTTTTTTATCCACATAATGGCATTATTTCCAAAGCCCATCACAAACCCAACTGACTTTTATACTCACATTTGAAATACACAGACATACATATGCATATACATATATATAATATATACACACTCACACATACAGACACACATTTGAGTCTTCAAAGGAAAAAACACACACACACACAGTCACTGACAAAGCATCTTTTCATAGACATTTGTGTTTGCAATGTGTTTCAATGTGGAAAAAATAATTTTTAACTGAATTCTGCTCCTAAATGAACATACGGGGCATAATAGTTTTAGCTGCCTCTCACGTTCTAAACAAGTTTCTTGATTTTGTTACAATGAAAGAGTTAAATATTCATATAAGAAGTACCTCATGTTCTCTGAGTGAAGGGCCTATTCTAGACTGAGATAAAAGGGGTTCTCGCAATATGGTTATGATAGCAAAGGTCTCTGAGCATCCCTTCAGTCCTTACAAGTCTCCTTTCCTCCTGCCTCGCCAGTGAAACACACATCTTGGAAGAGAATTCTCAGCCGCAGATTTTGCCATGAACACCCTGGGGATTGCGGAATGTCAGTACTGAGTTCTATGTCAGGGACACCAGGAGTCTAGCAGCCTAGAACCCAGGCTTCCTACCTGTTTGTTTGGTATTTAATCACAACAAAGTCTTGGTTAGATATTCGGCCACGACTGGCTTTTTAATGGCATCAATACAATCACTGATCTCTTAGAAGGGCTGTCAGAAACGTGCTCCTTGTTTCTGGATGAGGCTGACCACCTGGTGTGCTTGACAGCGTTTGTCCCGGGCATGCAACCCATTATACGTGTATTGAGCCTTTGCTCTCATCAGGTCAACCATTTAATGATTTGTAAGAAAAACAATTCATGAGAAGCAAATCACACTGCAGGTAAATAGTCTACTAGTAGAGAACCCTGCAAAGTAAAATATAGTATTTAGAGATCTTACACATAAAAGCAAATTATTTACTCATAGAAAGGTTACTGTCTTCTATAGCTTTAATTTGGTTAATTTTTTAACTTAAAGTTTTAAACAATCATGTACTTAACCAAAATATTTTATTGGCCAACCAGTGATAGAATACTGGTGTTTGTATGAGTGGCTTTAGTGTGGCCATTTAAAAATAAATAAAATTAAAAGTGCTAAACTATTATGGGGTGGGGGTTGAAAAACATCTCTGTTTCTGAAAAAACAGCCAAATTAGATCTGAACCCCTTGAATTGAGCCAAATGCTCTTTAATATCTGAATAAGCACTTTAAAATTAGGACAGAGGAATTGTCCTGCTTTTATCCCTTCATTTCCCCCCTCTTTTGCATGTAGTATAGATAGAATTTGCTACTGTAGCCCTCATTTCTAGGACAAGACAAGACAAAATTGTGGTAGAAAGAGAGGAGTGGATTCTTTGTCTGATAGGGTTAAAACACCTCACTGATTAGTTTTTAAATAATGGAAAGAAGTATGAACCATTCCACCAGCAGTGTGATCCGGGAGATTCTATTGGATTTATTTTAAGTGAATTTTAAAACAAGGATGCTTGGTATCTACCGATCCACGCTATTATCTAACTCTGATTCTCAAACATATCCTCACCACTGCCCCTTACACCAGCTTTCTGGCCATAGGGACCACCTTCCACACAAAGGTCTTACGTAGATCACACTGCCTGTCCCGAAGTCCCAGCAGGTGAAGGCCTGATATGTGAGGACCACTGCCCTCAAAGAAGACCACGGGCCAAGAGGGTGCCCTCTGGTTTGCGCCCTGTGTGGCATGGCGGGTGCAAATCCTCCTGCTGGCTAAAGTTTTAGCGAACTGTCACACTTTGTAGAAGAAAACTCTGCATTAAACCCACGGCTGGCATTTGTAAGTTACAGAAATGGCTCGTGTCTTATCCCTTCCACTTACTCCTGACCACTGACAGACTCCCTGATGAGGAGCTGCATGTGAAGCCTGTTCTAAGTTGACATTCATGAAATCTAACAAGGAAAAGCAACAGTCCTTTCTCTATCAATACCAAGCACAGACAACACACTCTTTGATTCAGCGATTACCTCTATTTCAGTATGTGTACCTTGTGACCCCAAATCATGACAAACACTGGAAAAATGTCAAGCGGTAACAATAAAACACCAACAACTTTTACCATGGGTATTCCCCAACACAGACACACACACACACACACACACACACACACACACACACACACACACACTGGGAGATAGCACTAGGAGAGAGCTCAGGTTTCCCCAGGTAAAATCCACCACCAGAGGAGGTACTGTCCAGGTGAGTATAAATTAGGGTGAACTATGTCTGCAGCAAACCCATGACAAGCTAGCATGAGGATGACATCCTGCTGGTTTGCTCAGGATACATACATGAAGACTACGACCTGTTTGGCTCCTACAAGCGTTAGCATTCGCTCGTCTTTTCACTGAGTATGTAAGGTAAACTGAGATTTCTTTGGTGATGGTCATTTGCTTGAATGGCAGCTTTCTCTTCGGTTGCTGCGTCGATGTTGTCTGAATATGAATCTTCGTCTTCATCTTCATCCCTTGAATTCCCCTCCAGGCTGTGTCGAATGCCGTAGGTGAAGTAAATCAGGAAACCTTTTAGAGAACAAAGCATCAGTGTTTAGGTGTGTCAGAAAACGGCCGTTGGAGCATGGACAATTTTAATACAAACTCAATAGGGCCTTTTGCCTTCTCTTTCTGTGTCACCAGGAGAGGCCAAGTTCTGTGTCCAGAGAAACTGTTAACGGGGATTAGAAGACAATGTTTTAAGGATCCTCAAAAAAATAGTTTATTACTTTTATATATGGACATTCTGCTGGGCTTTCGTGTTGTTGTTTGTAAGGATTGGTTGAGAGTTTTGGGTTGTTGTGAAATGCATTATAATTCTCCACTT